TTTTGCTCTCACATCAGTGCTTCTCTCCCCCTCACACCCCACCCCCCTCTTTCCTTCTTTAAAAAAAAAATAAAAAAAAACATATCCTCGGTGAGGATTGAAAAAAGCACACAAAACTATGAGATAATAAACTGGTAGTATTTTAAGCCATAAAGTTTATGGTAATTTGATACAGAGCAACAGAAAACTAATATAATATCTGAGGTGATTTAGACAACCAAAACAAAAAACAAAGTTATGAACTCCAGGGATGGGAGCACTGGACTGAGCAAGAAAAGAAAAGTAATGATTATGTAGGTAGGTTTTCACCACGTCAGCAAATCCTTTGACACGACTCTCATGTGTGTAATGTCCCCTACCCACAGCTCAGCCAGCCTTGGTGACTCGCCCATAGCCTATAGAATGCAGCAGAAATGATGCTGAGTGACTTCCTCAGTTAACTCAGTTTCTGTCCAACTCCCTGCGACACTCACTCTAGAACCCACTTTACTAGAGAGTTTGGTACTAGGTTTTCAGGGGAAGCACAGCTTTTCCACGTTCCATTTACTAATTACAGATTTTCCCTTGTAAATATATCATCCTTTGGGACTTCAAGGAGAGAAGTGGCTGCAGAGAAGCAGAACTTGGCCATCCCTAGATTCCCCAGCCATCACACCACCAAACTTCACCATTAACCTCTGACGTGAACCAGCCAAAATAGCAGCCTCAATAGCAGTCACTGTAATCCAGAGTAAGGTGGAATATTTAAGTATTTAAAGATAGGGAGGATTGTCAATTACTGATAGAAAACATCTCTCTTGTTTCTTTATATGCCCTGGGAAGTTCTTCCAAATTGATTTGCTGTAAAACTCTAAGCAATCTACCTAACATTTCAGTCTCCACATTTCTAATCCAAACAAACTTCAGAAATAATATTTGAGTGAGTGAAGAAATTTCTTGAAAATATTTGAACAAAAAGTCTTCTCATGTCTAAAATAAACGTTCATTTTATTAATTAAATCAACAAATACTAATGGATACAGTGATATGAGGTAAAAATATCTGGCACAGTCCCTGGCCTCAAGGAGGTTATAATAAACACTAGAGGCCCGGTGCACAAAAATTTGTGCACTCCGGGGGGGGGGGGGGGTAAGGGGGTCTCCCAGCCAGCCTGTGCCCTCTCACAGTCTGGGACCCCCTCGGGAGATAACGACCTGCTGGCTTAGGCCTGCTCCTGGGTGGCAGAGGGCAGGCCCAATCCCTAAGTGCAGCCCCTGGTCAGGCTCAGAGCAGGGCCGATCGGGGAGCTGGGGCACCACCCTGTCATGCACAGAGCAGGGCGGATCGGGAGGTTGCGATGCCACCCTCAGTCACGCTCAGGGTAGGGCCGATTGGGGGGTTGGGGCACTGCCCCCTGTCACACTCAAGGCAGGGTTGATGGGGAGGCTGCGGCGCCACCCCCTGTCACGCACAGAGCAGGGCCGATCAGGGGGTTGGGGCACTGTCCCCTGTCACACACAGAGCAGGGCTAATCAGGGGGTTGGGGTGCTGCCCCCTGTCACTCACAGAGCAGGGCCTATTAGAAGGGTTGGGGCTCCGTACCCTGTCACACACAGAGCAGGGTCGATCAGGGGGTTGGGGAGCTCCCCCCTGTCACGCACAGAGCAGGGCCGATCAGGGGGTTGAGGAGCTCCCCGCTATCACTCACAGAGCAGGGAGGATCAGGGGGTTGGGGCACTGTACCCTGTCACACTCAGGGCAGGGCCAATGGAGAGGTTATGGCTCTACCCTGTCACACACAGAGCAGGGCCTGTGGGGGGGCGGGGGTTGGGGCGCCACACCCTGTCACCCACAGAGCAGGGCCGATCAGGGGGTTGGTGCACTGCACCCTGTCAAACACAGAGCCGCAGGGCAATCAGGGGATTGGGGAGCTCCCCTGCTGGGGTCCAACCCCAGCAGGTCCAGGGGTTCCCCATAGGTGTGGACGGAGTCGGCGAAGAATGAATGACATGGAAACTGGGTTCAGTTCATCAGCATAGCGAGGTTCTCCCTCCAGAATCTCCAGCGAAGTTCCCTGTTACGCTGATCCCGGTGCCGGGAGCCTCGCTGCTCCGCTGATCCCGGTGCTGGGAGGCATATTACCCTTTTACTATATAGGATAGAGGCCTGTGCATGGGTGGGGGCTGGCTGGTTTGCCCTGAAGGGTGTCCTGGATCAGGGTGGGGGTCCCCACTGGGGTGCCTGGCCAGTCTGGGTGAGGGGCTGAGGGCTGTTTTCCGGAAGCGAGTAACTGAAGCTCCCAACCGCTCCTTGTTTTCTTCTTCTTCTTTTTTTTTTTTTTTTTTTTTTTTATTCTGGGCCAGCTTTAGCTCTGAGGCCTCGCTGCTGAAAACATCGATACAATGTTGTGGTCTGGCTGAAGCCCGGCTGACTGAAAGCCGGTTTCTGGGGTTTTGTTTAGCTTCTTATTTGCAACATAGTACATAGTTGCTTAGAGTTGCAGCTGAGAGGCCGGCAAGTGAGGTGGGGAACGTTGGAGTCCGCAGCAAGCAAGCCTCCCTGCTCGCTTCAGTGCCTGGCTGCCGGCCGCCATCTTGGCAGACAGTTAATTTGCATATACTCACTGATTAGCCAATGAAAAGGGTAGCAGTTGTACACTAATTACCATGTTTCTCTTTTATTAGTGTAGATAGTAAGTATTTAACTCAATATAAGGCAGCATATAATAAGCTCTACAGAAAGGTACAATAGAAGAAACTGCAATGCAGCTGGAGATCCAAGAAAGAACTCAGATTTGATTAACCTCTCCCAAACCCAAGCTTCTCAGTTCCCTTTTCCTTTATCTACTCCAAGACCCTACACCTGAAATTATTCCATCCTTCACATCTTAAATGTTGGAACCCTCTTTCAGACTAAACTCTACCTCCCTATTGTGAGGAAATCCTTACCTCCCCCTCCGCCATGAGTCTCCATAGAGGGGAGATTCCTGGAGGAGGCAAGTAGTTAATCTGATTGGCTGATCACCCTACCCCACCTTCACTTGGGAGGAAAGAAGAATAAACAACATGTTGGCCTTAGGTCTCCAAACAATTTATCAGAATTTCTGTAATTTATCAGAATCTCTGGAACCTGTTCAGCCATTAAACTCTGTCCCTTAACATTTGTGTTTCATTCTCAAAATCTGAGAACTCAGAAGGGGCAGATGGATGAGTTATTAATCCCCCAAATATGCAACAATCCCTTTCTCTTTCTGTTCAACATTCCCTAAAACCATCAACTGTGGATCAATTTAGCTGTTCTCTAGCCCCATCTTAAAGAAAATACTCTTCCGCTTACTCAGCAATCATGTCCATCAGTTATTCCCTCTCTCTCCTGAAGCTTCAACTTTTGATTCTGACAACTCTTTCCTCTTCATTCAGACACGCCCAAAACCCATTTTAAAAACAAAGTAAAAGAACAACAAAACCAAAACTCTCTCTTCAAGCTTGACCATTCTTCTAGCTATCTTCGTTCTCCTTTAAAGGCCCGGTTTTTAGGAAATGTAACCTACCCTGGCTCCCTCTGCCTTTCCACGTTGCATTCTCGGGGCAGCCTGATGCAGGCCAGACTCTACAAAACTATTCGCATCAATGTGACCAAATGACCTCTGAGCTAACAAATTCAACAAGCAATTTTCATTTCTTCTTTGACTTGACCTCTCAACTGTATTTGATGTTTAGCAACTTCCGTCTTGAAACTCTCTTCCACTGGCTTTTTATAACATCACTGCCTCCTGATGCTCCTTCTAGACTTCAGAATGCTCGCTCTCAGTCTTTATTGGTTAAACCTTAAATTTTAACATTTTCCCAGGATTCTATTCTTGGCTTTCCTCTCCTCAAACTAAACTCTCCCTAGGGAGGGGGGAGGGGGGAGGGGGAAGGCCTATTTACACCATGCATTATCCCACATACCCATAAATCAATAAGACGAAATCTGAACTCATGTGCTTCCTCCCCCACCCCCAGCCCTACCAGTGCTTACCTGCTCGGTACCTGCTTACCTGTCTGTCCTCCCTGCCCTGGCCTGCCTGGGGGATGGATGGACACACTGCTGTCGGCAGTGGTGGCTCCCTAGAGCAGGGCCTGGGAGTGTGAGTGAGGACAACTACATAACGAGAGCAATGCATCTTAGAGGAACTAAAAGGAACCCCAGATGAACTTCACTGAATTATACTGTATCTTAAAGGGAAGTGATATGTATGTATTTATTTATTTATCCATCCGTCCATCTCTGAAGCTCTTGTGCTTATTAGCACAGGAGCCTGCACAAAGTACTCAATGCAGGGTACTCAATTCCTTTCTTTGAATCAAAAAAAGTAGAAGAATGGGATATCTGAGATAAGCTTTGAAGAACTGATGGAATTTCAACAAGTACAGATGGAGGAGGAATCATGTCAGTCAGAGGGAATAGGAAAAGCATAGGCTCAGACAGAAATGCTGGACTGGCAGGTGTATGAAGTCAAATACCACCACCAACACGGAAATACTGAGGCACGATTTTATAAGACTTTAAAATGGAGCCAGAGATGCAGCTTGGCAGGCAATGGCAAGCCAGTGAAGTGTTTAAAACAATGGGATTTGCGATTGGAAAGGAAAAAAATTAAATGGACAGAGGACACCTCTTAAATAGCTACCAAGTGAATTTCCTAAGTGAGAAGAAATAAAGACCTGAACTACAGCAACTAGAGTAAAAGTAGAAGGGGAAAATATTTTTGAGATTGAAGGTGAAAACCAAAATTTTTGAATATTCAAGAACGATTACATTAGTTGAAGCATTAAATTGAAAGGAGGTGGAAAATTTAAATCAATAACATTACCATCATGAATGGTGTTGGGTGTTAGAGTATCAAGCTTATTGTGTTAGCAAAGAGCTCCAACAAGCATAGGTTGACATACAATTGGCAATTGAAAAGGGCATTCTTTATATGTTAGGAAAGGTCATTTATAATTTCGGAGTAGGGAGTTAGCAAAATATAATCATACCGTGAAACTGTTGTTAGCATTTTTTGTGCTTGCTTCAGCTACACTGGCATCTGAGAGGTCAACTTCATCAAATATCAGAGACTGTTAATGAAAAAGAACACAAACATATTAAATAAAAACCAAACTCAATGCTCCTCAATAATTTTTTACTATCAGGTCATGACCATGTGGCTATGTCAGGAATTAGGAATAGAAAATAAAGAAAAATTTAAGTCAGTGATACTTTGTGAGTAAAGTCACAAAGTACAACTAACACATAAATCCCAAACTGAAAAGGACCTCAAAGAACTCCAGGACACTGTTTTGATGCAAAATGCTCTGTGTTCTCTGGAAGCATAATTCATGGGGAATCTACTAAATGCAACACACACACACACACACACACTCACACACCATCTTTAAACCTTGTAACAACTTTGCCAGGAAGGCAGAGGCTACGTTGTTCCCAAATTTGCTAAGTGAGAAAGAAAAACAACTAGTCCTGCCTCAGATCATGGTGAGTTACTGAACTTTCTGAACCTTACATTCCTCATCTATAAACGTGTTCAAATGAGATGAGAATGTGCTCTGCAAATATAAGATGATGTTTCTTTTATACTCTTAAAAGTGGTCTTAAGAAAAAAGTGACAATGGTAAAAACGCCAGAGAAACGAAATCTTAAAAATGTACAATTTAGCCCTGGCCGGATGTCTTAATTGGCTGGAGCGTCATCCAGTACATCAAAAAAGGTTGGGGGTGCGATCTCTGGTCAGGGAGCATATGGGAGGCAACCAATCGATGTTTTTCTCTCACACCGATGTTATCCCCCCACCCTCCTCTTCTAAAATCAATAAAAACATATTTTCAGGTGAGGATTTTTTAAAAATATACAATTTAGAAATTCAGAAATTCTAATAAATAAATGTACCCTTCCCATTTAGTCATCTGGTCATTGTTCACCCATCATTGTTCTTACAGCCAGGCAGTGCAACAATGCTTCTCTAGAAGTGCAGAAAAGAGCGGGGCGGGTGGGGGGGTCCCTTCTCTGATAGCTTCCACCCACCCCCCCACCCCAAGATCTCCAGGGGATTATGCTTTAATCCAACCAATCTGACTACAAGACCTGTTCCCTGACTGAAAAGAATTTATAACCTAGCATAGGCGATAAAATTGACACAACTAATTTTAATGTAAGATAGACCATTACAGTGGAAGAGATGAGATACTGCGGAATGCTCTGGAAGATCACAGATGACTTCTCCAGCAAAGAACACTTACACTCTTTCTCTTGTGACTAATGAAATAAAAGCTATTTGAGGGGGGATTTTAGAAATAACAGGGAATTTTGTCAATTGGAGACAGAGGGAAGGTCACTGGAGATGGGAGACCAAGGGCAAGGCTGAGACTGGCTGGTCAGTGCAGCCTACAGATACAGGTGAAGTCAGGATGAAGCCAGACCAGAAACAAGCCTACACATAACAACTTTTAAAACAAGACTGTTTTATCTGGTTATTATTTCTACAGCTGCATAAACTAAGATTTAGGTTTTGTTTTTTGATTTGTTTTTACTTCCTGGTGTATAATGCTACTAATTACATCAGGAACTTAAGTTCTTTAATATGGAAATAACTAAATTGGCACAGTAATAAGAATCTTAATGTTTATTTTTTAAAGATTCCTAAAGTATCAAATCTAAATGGAAACAATCATTATAATTTTTTCATTCAAAATTACATCACTCTTATTTTATTCAATGGTTATATAAAAATTATTTAAAGTCTTATTTTTATTTCACTATCATTTTTATTATTAAATAATTTAAAATGTTTTTTTATTGGTTTCAGAAAGGAAGGGAGAGAGAGATAGAAACATCAATGATAAGAGAAAATCACTGACCAGCTGCCTTCTGCACATCCCACACTGGGGACCGAGCCCACAACCCAGGCAAATGCCCTGACCAGGAACCAAACTGTGTCTTCCTGGGTCATAGGTTGATGATCAACCAGAGCCACACCAGCCAGGCTATGATTTTTATTTCTAACCTCTAGCATAATGAGTGATTATTTTGTGTGCCAGGCACTATGTAAGCACTCCATGTCTATTATGTCATTTAGCCGCCTCTCAGGATCACGTGCGTCCACAGCACTGCTCTGGAATATGCTGGAACTGGGATAGGAACTCTGATTCGTCACTAGTATAGCAATGCTCTCACCCACGGTCAGGAAAATATTTATAATGTAAAAAAATAGCAAAAAAGGGGAGAAAATCCAAAATTCTGAGTTTATTCTATCTAATAAGGTTACATTTCATATTTTATTTAATTGGAAGGAAAAAAGGCTGGAAGAAAACGGAAGGAAGAAATGAGGGAGGAAGGCAGGGAGGAAGGGAGGGAGGAAGCAGGAAAGCAGGGAGGAAAGGAAACTACACTAGAACCTTCCTATTCCATTCTCCTTGTGGTACATGCCATGAAACTGACTCAAATGGGCTCCCTTGGGATTTGGTCCAAGATAGGTCACATTTATATTGAATTCATGTAAGAGCAGAAAGGCTATAGTGAGCCCCAAGACAAAAACAGTTTAGAGAACCAAAATTTTAAATCCATCCACAACCTCAGGTGCTTGCAACTAGTAGTCTCTCAAATTACCTTTGAGTCCTTTGCATAATAAAGTGTACGGCCTCGAAGCTTGAAATACCGCTTTTTCCATCTTTGGAAAGAACTGGTTTGCTTCAACAGTTGTCCCTCTTTAATACTGGTCTGGGGAGAAGACAAAGCACAAGGACATGATTAAAATGAAATCCAAAACCAAATAAAATTCACAATTAATGACACACTATCATTAATATTTTGAATATTGCTTCCCATGTCCCACAGATTTCATGAGAGAATATTTTCTAATCCTTTTTGTTCAACCAAGGGAGCACATGTGCAAAGTCCTAAAGAGCAACGGTAATGGGCCCAGTTCCCTGACCTCCAAGTAGTCACAAACAGCCTGAAAGGCACAAGCACACAGACTAGCCCTCGCAATACAGGGGGATGCACACCATGACTTGCATTAGTAAGTAAATGGTGCAAAGGGTAGAGACGTCGTATAATGGAATGATTTTAAAAAGCATGGGCTTTGCATCCCTATGACTATTTTTAAAACCGAAAATTTGTACTTCTTTCACCTTTTTCACCACTCCCTTCTGCCCCCCTCCCATCTGGCAGCAATCATGAATACAGTCAATAATCCTATCTAATAATGAGGTGATATGCAAATTGACCATCCCTCCAACACACAAGATGACCGCCCCCATGTGGTCAAAGATGGCCGCCCCATGTGGACACAAGATGGCCTGCAGGGGAGGGCAGTTAGGGGCAACCAGGCCTGCAGGGGAGGGCAGTTTGGGGGGGGACCAGGTTGGCATGGGGCAGTTGGAGACGACCAGGCTGGCAGGGGAGGGCAGTTAGGGGTGACCAGGCCAGCAGGGGAGGACAGTTGGGGGAAACCAGGCCTGCAGTGGAGGGCAGCTGGGGGTGACCGGGCCTGCAGTGGAGGGCAGTTGGGGACAACCGGGCTGGCAGGGGAGGGCAGTTGGGGGTGATTGGGCCAGCAGGGGAGGGCAGCTGGGGGTGATCGGGCTGGCAGGGGAGTAGTTAGGCGTCGATCAGGCTGGCTGGGGAGTGGTTAGGGGGTGATCAGGCTGGCAGGCAGAAGCGGTTAGGGAGCAATCAGGCAGGCAGGCAGGCAAGCGGTTGGGAGCCAGCAGTCCTGGATTGTGAGAGGGATGTCCGACTGCCCTGTGGGATCGGGCCTAAACGGGCAGTCGGACATCCCTCGAGGGGTCCCAGATTGGAGAGGGTGCAGGCTAGGCTGAGGGACACACCCCCTCAGTGCACAAATTTTGTGCACTGGGCCTCTAGTATTATAATAACTACATATGGTGTCAGATGGATACTAGAGTTATTAGGGTGATCACTTTGTAAGTTATATAAATCTCTAATCACTATGTTGTACACCTGAAACTAAGATAATATTGTATGTCAACTATAATTTAAAAATAAATCTTTAAAGAGAAGGAAAAAAAAGCATGGGCTATGGAGCCAAAAATCTAGTGTTCAACTCCTGGTGCCATCACTTAGTAGCTGGATGATCTTAAACAAATTACTAAACTTCCTTGTGCCTTTACTCATCTATAAAATGGGATAACTTCTGGGGTTGTTGTGAGGAATAAATTAAGAACACGTAAAGGACTTACTGCACGGCACACAGCAAGTGGTCGTCAAATAGCACCCAGCTAGTGACACATGTTACTATAACAAACACACGTTCAATGCACTGTGCATGGCAGTCCAGAGAAGGAAGCATCAGCTCTGCTCAGAGGGACCCAACGTCCTCTCTGGGGAGTTTATCAGAATGGCAAGGGATGAAGAAGGGAATTTCAGGTGTGTGCAAAATTAGAAAGGTTTAAAACACCGTGGATATTTGGGAAATCTTCAAAAAGCTTTCAGTTATGAATGCAAAGAAGAGCTTACAAGGGGAAGCAGCAGATGTGGCTGGAAGAGGTAGGCAGGGGCTCTGTAACCCTGGGCCAGACCCTGTGCTAAGTGCTTTATCCAAGTTCATTTCATCATCACCATCAAAATGCTTGGAACCCCTCCAACCTCACATAGTCATCTCCCCTACACTTGGTCTCCTCCACCCGCAAGGATGCTTTGCTTTTAGGTGGCATATATTCTCCTCCCTTAGGTCTGGATAATACCTGATCCCTCCACCTGGACTGCTCTCCCCTCAGATATCCATCTGCCCAACTCCCTCACCTCCTCAGTGAGACCCACCTCACTGACCGCCAGTTTAACCCAGCAACATGCTCTCCATATCTCCCCATCTTGGTCTTACTCCCCCACACAAAGTACTATCTTCTAATGTATCATGTAATTTACATATTTATTGTGTTTATTGTGCTATCCGTATTAGAAGGTCCTTGAGTTTATTATACATAAAAAATAAAATTTAATGTTTCATTTCGATTGGAAGTAAAAAAAAAAAAGGAAGAAAGCAGGAAACTACACTTATAGCAAAATAAACTTACAGCCTTGTTATGAGATTGTCTTCAGGAGACAGGTCACAGGACTAACTCTAATAGATCCCCTTGGGTGGGGTCCAAGATGGATCACATTTCCACCGAATTCACAGAAAAGCAGTAAGGATATCATGAGCCTCCAAGACAAAAACAGCTTATAGAAACAGAATTAAATTCACCCCACCGGGCTGCACACTGGTATATCTCAAGTGCCAGTTCATATATAGCAGTTATCAAGATTTAATCCACACCTATCTGAGTGAAGAGTTTACTCCCAACCTATACACTACACTGTCTTTTATTATCAACAAGACATAAAACATTGAGAAAAGTTTGTTGTCACCAATAAGGTAGTTAAATTATATTATTGTTTACCTTCAATTTCAGATTTTCTCTATACAGTAGCCTGCTCTAAGACTGTCCTCTAGGAATTGCTGAGAGATCCCTAAAACTTAATGCTAACAAAATACTTTTGAAACTCTGGTACCAAAGAGCTTGATTTGGACGCTGACAGACAAACTTCCAGACTGGCTCTGCCACACACGAGGTATGACCTGGGCAAGTTACTCCAGCTCCCTGTGCCCGTTTCCTCTCCTCAAACATGGGAATAATAATACCAACCTCACAAGCTTGTTGCACCTAATTTAATTACAGGCTGGTGCCTGGAGACCACTTACACTGTCTGGGTTACAGAAAACATCCAACAAATGGCAGAAAGTGTTATTATGGTGATATCATTATGCTATTAACTTCAGAGAGTACCTGCCAGGCACCGAATAATAAGAGCTTCTTGGAAGAAGAGAACGTGTTCCAAGGCCACTGTGAGGGCAAATAATAGCTGGAGCAGGAGGAGAGTGTCAAGAGATGAAGCGAAGGGAGACAAGAGCCAGGAGCTGCTGGCTTTTTATTCTAAGTGCAAAAAGCTAGCGAGATGTTCGCAGCAGGAGGGTGAGCATGGGGAAACGGGTGCGAAAGGCAGTGGGGGCCAGGTGGGAGGCTGCTGCCGGAGTCCAAGGCAGCGATCCCAAATAAAGTTCTAGCAACACTGACATGGACAGGAGGAGAGCAATTTGAGATGTTATTTTGGAGGCAGAATCCACTGAAGTTACTGACAGGCATGAAGGACAGGAGAGAAAAGAATCAAGGAAACTCTCAGCATGTGGCTTGGGGAACTAGATGTAAAAGACTGCAGGAGAACGGGTACTGGGGAGACTGCTCTGAGCTTCACTGCTGACTGCTCTAGCATCCAATGTTACGCTGGGTAGAGAGTCTATAATTCTTAAACCCAAACACAAAGTATTGAAATGCTGTAAAATGTAACTTATCCAAAGAACAAAACATTTGGAGATTCAAATTACAGAAGCGAGTGTATTGTGATTTTTGTAAAATTCTATTTAAGGCAATGAGGAAGAAAATTTAATGTTTGGTCTATTTATGTTCTATAAACACTGTTTTAAGAAAACATAAATAACCTACTTCATTCTCTACATGGTTATTAGAATAATTCTCTGCAACAAAAAGCTGATTATATTATGTATTCATCAGTTCCCTACTGCCTACACAGCATAAAGTCCAAACTTCTATATGTACCACAGAAGGCCCTACATAATGCTCTCCAACCTCATCACAGGCCCCTTCCCATGCTCCCCCCTCTGCCCTAAAGTTCTCTTAATCTGGCCTGTCTTGAAAGCTCCCATTCAATTCAACTCTGATCCAGTGCCACTGCCCCTGTGGAAGCTTCTCTGGCCCCCTCGGAAGAAGTGACCACTCCCACTTTTGTTTCTCTAAGACGCCCTTATCTTAACCACGTAACAGCACCTCCGACACTGAATGGCACAGGTTTACATGTTTGTGATCCCACCATGCTGTGACATTCTTAAGAGCAAAGACTGCATCCTATGTATTTTAATAACATTGCCCAGGTAACACAGCTGACACCCTAGGGCCTTCATAAATATTGAAATGAACAACTTTCAGTTAAAGAGTGAAATGGTATGTAAGGTAACTTCGTATTTTAAAAGCATGAAAGAACTGGAAAACAGGAAATAGTGACTGGAAATTATTTTATGGTTTCTAGCATTCAGCAGGTCTGAGCCTCCTTTCACTTGTATAAAAACAAGCAGATACAATGCACAAAGGTGTATGTGCCTCTAGGTGCATGCAGAGGGACAGAAAAATATCTATCCTGATTTTAAGAATATTGCTAATTTAGAGATGATCCTTACATAATCACTTTCAAAGCAAATAATTTGGTTTTTTTTCTATATAATTTTATGTTCTTCAAATATTGCATAAGCATGGATTAACCTGCAATGTGTGAGGCTGTGGGGAATACAAACATGTGTAAAATACAGTCCTCTTCATGAATTTACAAATTTCTCTATGTTGTAACATACACCGTTAATTTTAAATTCTTGAAGAGAATAAGAAAACATTCTGAGGCTGGCCTGCCTTCCTCTAAGAGATGTGATTTAAAAGATTTAAATAGGAGGCAATTATTCTCATGAGTTAATCCTCAAAATAAACTTCTGTTTACATATGGCTATTTAAACACTTTTATAAAAGAAGAAGCATAACAATGATTAATTTGCAACAGTTTTATCAAATCTTCCATATATATAAAAGGCTAATAAGTGTCCATCCGACCAGTAGCTATGACACACACTGACCATCAGGGGGCAGATGCTCAAC